GGCGCAGCTGTTGGTATCGTACGGCTGATCTGCGAGGCATTGGTACAGGAAGGCGTACCGTTTGAGGAAGCGAGTGGGACGATTGCGAATTTTGTGGCGCAGTGACGTTATTCTCTCTACAGAGTCTCGAATTTGGCTGATAGACTCCAAGGGCCTGGTCAGTACGGATCGCCAGAAGGAGTATGAAATTGCGAAGGGCAGAGCAAAGTGAGTCTGGAAGCGAGTTGCCCTTCGCTCCGCTGAGAATATTTCTTCGAATTTAGATACCGTGTGAACTATGTGCAGCCGCCAATGAAATGCGGCAAGAACGATCTCCTCTCGGTGGTGAAGGAGGTCAAACCTACAGTATTGATCGGGTGAGAATATCTCTATGTTGAGCGAGAAAGATAAAAAATAGGTTAGGACTGAGCACTTTCTTTCAGGGTATCAGCCCAGAGCGGATTGTTTTCCTCTGAAGTCCTTCAAGCGATGAATGCCAACTGCGAGTACCCCATCGTGTTCAGTCTGTCCAACCCGACCAATTGCTGTGAGTGCACTGCTGAGGAGGCCTATAGGGCCACTGACGGCAAGTGCTTGTTCGCCTCTGGAAGCCCCATGCCGGCCTATCGTAATCATCACACGCTGGTGTTATTGTTGTTGTTGTGACTCAACACCTTCAGACGTGCCCACGCAGAAGTCCTACAAGCTGAGCTCGCGTGTGTTCCCCGAAACTGATGAGCATTTCATTCCGGCGCAAGCTAGCAACATGTACGATAATCCATTCAACCACTCATACTTCGATGATGTTCGCGCTTGGATTGATGAATACCTGCGAGTCAGGTACGTGTTCCCTGGCATCGGCTTGGCAGCGTCAACAGGGAATCTCGCTACTATACCGAACCAACTCTTTTACATCGCCGCAAGTGAGTGGAAGACCTCTCATGATTCGCCTTAGAATGAGTTGTGGGGATTTTTCTCTTCGTTACTACTGCGAAGTGATAACTGGTTTCAACATGAGGAGCTTGATCTTCGTACTGTCCTTTGATAAGCACACCGTTATTCGGCTATCGAAGTCAACTTGGGAAGGAAACGCCGATGGTGTTTTGCCATGACCTTTGGTCTCATCTCAGGAACGATCGCGTCGATGGTCACAGTGGAGGAGATGAAGACGAGGACGCTTCTGCCGCCTATGTCGAAGCTGAGGGAGACTGCCTGTAAAGTGGCCGCCCAATGCATCATCTACGGGTCCAAGAAGTAGCGAGCTTCAAAATGTCGTGCGCCACGAAATTGTAGTTCACTGTTACTCGCTCTTCAGGGGGTTGACGAGAATCCAAACACCTTTGGACGCTGAAGTGTTTGTTAAGTCCAAGATGTGGTATCCCGAGTGAGTTTTTCCCTTGGCTTCAGCGTTCTAGGCTGCATCCTGTCAGATACAAGCATTATCTTCCGACAGCACCAGTGCATGCTCATCATGAGGTGGATAATCAAAAGGTCCCGGGATCGATCCGATGTTCCGTGTTTTTTTCAGATATTACCATCTAGTGGGACTGCCTTCACCGACTCCTCCAATTTAGCGCACCGAGCATCTTCTCATCGCCAGAGGATCCATAGGATGCCTCAGAAGGCGGCCGAGGCGACCATTCCTGCCTGGGAGAGTACCGCGCAAACAGCCAGAATGTCATTGATGCAGTCCAGCGAGTCGTCGTTAGAATGTGAGGGAAAGGGCTTACGTTTCCTCCTGGAATTCCATGCCGACCTCACGTGACCGGGAGTCTATACTGTCTGATAGCGATGATGCCAGCTATTGAAGC